ACACACACACACACACACACACACACACACACACACACACACACACACACCCATGCCTCCTTGCTAGAAGGCCAGTGCTGCACCTTACAGAAGTAATTCCCCAGTGGCCAGCAGGGTGAATGGCTGCACCTGTGTCCCACCCCATGGGCCACAGGCCTGGGTCTCCCATGTCTGTCATGTGGCGGGTCAGGTTGAGGCCCCAAGGATCCACAGATCACCCCCTAGATTCCTCTACTTTTAGCCAATGCATGGTCACTGTGCCCTGCTGCCCAGGGCTCCCACAGAGCTGATGGCACACCTCATATCCTTGTCTTGGCCACCAAGACTCTGTGACCAAGGTCAGAAACTGACTCCAGTACCCCAACCTCAGGGTCAGAGATCAAAGGTCCCCAGCACACAGACTGGACAGTTTAGGGGCAGATGCCCAGTTGGCTCCGGGGGCACTGCTGGGTCCAGAGAAAGCCCACAGCTTTTACGGCGTGGCCTTGGGGCTGGAGACAGGGTAGTCTTCAAGGGGGCTCACCTGGCTCTCCCAGGGGTCAGCTAAGCCCCTGGCTACCCACTACACTTCATTCACACAAGACTGTCTGGGCTGAAACCCCAGCTCTACCATGTACTCTAGCTGTGACCTTGGACCTGCCACCTCATCTATCGGGCTTCAGTTTCCTCATCTGCAAAATGAGGATAATGATGGTACTTACCTCATAGGTCGGGATAGGGTCCCTATGAGGATAAATGGGTTTATATTCACAACAGGTCATAAAGAGGGGCCTGATGCTTGCCAGGTGCTGCAGAAGTTTGTCAAACACAAGGGTACAAAGAGTTCTAAGCCCTGCCTGACTCGGAGCTCCTGGGACAGCAGAGCCGTGCTAACAGGCAAAGCTCTCTCTAGGCCACGGCACAAACAGAGATGGATGGACAGGAGAGGCAAGTTCTCCAGCCTCAGCAGCCTGCCCTCTTATTCAAGGCTTCTGATCACAGCTTCTGAGAGCCAGGAGAGAAGTGCAAGGGACAATCCTGTTCCCGAAGGGTGACAGAGGGGCCTGGGGCAGGGTTGCATGGAAGGCCCCAGCCCCAGCCCCCACCATCACCCCCAGCCCCCAGGTCCTGCCCTCTGTATCCTGCTGCTCCATGCTCCCAAAGCTCCCATCATGCCCTCATTTCATATGGATGAGAGACTGAATTATCAACCGGGACGGAGGGGGAGGCTGCAGCCACTGCAGAGAAGCAGCAGCTCTATCCCAAGGCCAAGGACAACACCAGGCTAAAGGACCCTGGCTGAGTGGCCCTCAGCCCCCTCCTCTCCCTATCTTCCCAGGGATCCCTCCTCAGTGGTCCAGCTGAAGCATCCATCCCTGGGCCACTCAGGTCCAGGACCACGTGCTCTCACTGGGGTCACGAAGCCACCTGCACCGGCACTGGAATACAGATGACCCCACAGGAGGTCCTCACCAGGGGAGCCCACCTCTGCCTGGGGAGGCTCCCGTGGGAAGGGCTTTGGGGTCCTGTGGGCTGTGGACTGTCAGTGGCCCTTGAACACTGCGCCTTTGGGATCTCCACCCCAGAGTTGTCATGGTGCCAGCCATGGACTTCTAGAGATTTCCCAACACACTTTCACGTCCTTGACTTTTGTCTCAAGTCTGCCCCCAATTACAAATGAGATAACAGGGCAGTGAGGTGCCCTGCAAAGGGCCTTAATTTGAAAGGGAGTGGCGGGCCTTGAGTGTGACCCCCTACACATACACACACACACACACACACACACACACACACACACACACACATACACACACACACACACACACACACACCCCCCGCTCAAACTCCAAGGGCACTTCCCCTGAGCCCCACAGGAAGCAACAATGACAGAGCCTGAGTGTGCTCCCTTTGAGGGAGGGGGAAGGGATCACAAACACAAGTCAAACAAGGTCAAGACATGCTGCGCTGAACGTCGGAAGCTGTGCCCATAACCAGTGCAGCTCTCTGCACACCCTCGACTCTTCAGCAA